CCGCCCCCCCGGATATTTTGGTTGTCTAGGAACTCAGTACCTTTCTAGGTGTCTCCACCAGGCTCTGATGGCCTGGATTATCTAATCTGTGTAGTGACAGCATGCTATTGATATTGGCTTCTTGACAGCAGTTGTCAGAACTCCCAAGTGAGAGCATTACTGTGTAGATCTTAGCTGGTGAGTGATAAGAGAGATTCTTGTCTTCCACTGTTTGCCTTGGCCTAGCACGTTGACTTGCTTGAAAATAGCAATCTGCAACTGATTTTTGCTTGTATTAGTCACTGAAGAGCAACAATGCATTTGCAGAGGGGCTATGTTTTCTACACAGGTTTTAAAATAGATTATTACCTCAGGTACAATTTTGCATTTTCCTAAAATCTGCTTTTTTTTTCCTTAAGCTACAAAGTGAGCATATTTCAGGCCATAATATTGTACATGGATATAAATCTTCCTAGTCAAAGACTCTCGTCTGCTTACCACTTAAGAAAATAGTTGAGCGTTTGTGGTGCTAGTGAGAGCGCACAAAGCAGTTAAAGCACATGAGCCAGAATGCCTGGGCTTTGCTCCCAGCTCTCCTAATAATTCGTTATAAGTCAGGCTTTAAAGCATGAACAGTAAATCTTAGCAACTTCACAAGAGTGTTGTGAAATGTATGTACAAAACCTCAGTGAAGACTCTTGCATGAGTAAGGTATTGCTGATCTTTTATTCACTGGGTTAAACTTCATTTAGAAATAGTTGAGAGTGAGTTTGATGTGTTTGTTACTAGTGTCTGTAATTAGGATTTTAACATAGTCATGTGATTTCAAAAGTGTCTTTAATACTTTTTGTTTGCTTGTGTTTGTTTTGTGGCAGGTTGGAAGTGATTTTGGATATTTTCCAAAGGATTTACTTGAAATAAATCATAATTATTCCAATGAGGAGCTAGAATTACCAACAGATGTAAGTCTTATTTGTTGTTGTTCAATTGGGCTTCTTACTGTTTCATACCTTGGCATTCAATAAAATCCCTGAGGAGGAGAATGGGAATATCAGTGATCCTCAATTACCTTTTTTTACTAAGCAGCAACATATGTGCAGAGATGCACATCTGTGAGGGGTGGTGGAATGTTTGTGCAGCAATGTATGTGGATGGGTGTATAAGCATCAGCCCAAAATGTGGGCATTGATCTTTCTTTTCTTGAATATTCTGATTTTTTTTCTAACAAAATCTGTTTGGATTGAGCTCTAGAAATGCTGCTAGCTGGCTCGCACAGAGGCGGTTTGGTATGTATTCAGAACTGTTTCTTTTCTCAGACTTCCGAAGTTGAAAGTACTATCAGAAACAAGTAAAACTTGGTACACTTAGCCCTTTGATTCTAGAATTGTTCCTTCAACCCTTACACACATAAATGGCTTTCATGCACTGATAGCTAGTAACTTCAGAGTTGTCTGGCTAAGGCCTGTTTGTGGATGCAGCTTCAGACCCTTATGAAATTGCATCCAGTGGCTTGCACTGCTCTTTTTTTTTTTTTTTTTTTTCCCCCAGAAATTGTGTGACAGGCAGCTCCTGCTTGGAGGACTTGGTCATTTGAGGAGAGACCAGCTAAAAGAGATTGTGACAAACAAGCTTAGCGATGTTTGTTTTCTTCTCCTCACTGCCATTTAGCAATAGACTTGTTCTTAATTCAGGATATAGGTGATGAGTAAAGTATAATACTGTCAGCCCCATTGCTGACTTTCAGTTTGTTCCTCGCTAGGAGGTCTTTGACGGGGCTAAGCCATAAGCTTTCTCTTTAGGTTTTTAAGAGTCCTTGGGCAAAACTTCCACTGATTTCAGAGAGAGTTTTGGTTAAGGACTCAAGAGGTTAATTCTGCATGATTAATATAATTTACTTGGCTGCTGCATCTCTCTCTAACCAACCAAATGGGTTTGGTCTCATCACTCTAATAAAGAAAATATTATTTGTGACTACATACTGTTTTTCATTTCAGGAAACAGATTTTGTTTGCTTTGATGGCGGAAGGGATGATTTTGATAATTATAATGTGGATGAGCTTTTGAAGTCATTGCAAGAAAGGATAGCAAATGAAGGGGAAACTGAATCAAGTGATCCAGGGACAGAACCAGCTAAAGGAATTGAAAGGGATGAGGAAATCGAAGAGGTTGATACAATAAAGTCCCTTGATGCTTTGGAGCCAGACAATCTTGAGCTAAGCACAGAAGATGACAAGGAAGCCCTCGCCATGACAGAGGAAGTAGACAGTTCTCTTACAGAAGGAACTGAAAATACTGGGGGATACTCCAGTGTCAACAGTCACGAAGAAAACTCTCAGGGAGATCAAATTGCACATGAGCACTTGAAAGGAATGCTACATGGGAAACTAAAAGGGCTAGAAAGTGAAAATACCAAAAACACTAGTATTCCTCAGGGTGAAACCAGTCAACTTGACAAAGAGAATGAAGAAGTCAATGCCTATACACTTTTAAACAGAGAGCTCTCTGTGAACTTGAAAACAAAATTTGGCTCAACTGCTGATGCTGTTGTGTCAGATGATGAAGTGACTCGCCTTGTTACATCGCTGGAAGATGATTTTAATGAAGATTTGAGCATTAATGCTCATGATGCAGAGGAGGAGCCAGACTTTGCAGAACAGTCTGAAGAAATCCCTTTGCTGCCTTTTATGGCAGAGGAAGAAATGACATCCCCAGTGGATTTAGATGATGATGAAAACGATGGCATTGAGTCACAAAATCATAAACCTGATGAAGATGCAAAGGGTGCTACAGAGCTAAATAACCAAAGAGACAATGATGAAGAACCCGATTCAGATGCATTAATTCTTAAGGATGCCTTCAGTAGGAGCGAGAAGCCGAGTCACAGTATAAGTGTGGACAGGTCCAAATCTAAACAAAGAAAAGAGAAACAGGATGAGGTGATGCTAATTAGTAAAAGAGAAGAACCAGCATCAACTCAACCTGAGGATCTCTCCACGGAACTCCTTAGAAAGGAAACTGTAGGTACAGGTGATCTGAGTTCAAAAGAAAAACTGAACAAAACTGAACAGTTTGAAGAGCAGCTCGTGGTTGATGGAACCGAGTCACACAGTGAAGAGCTGAAGAGTACAGCTGTGCCTGATCCTAATGTTTTGCCTAGTCCAGGAGATGATCTGGAGGCCAAATCATTTGTTAAAAGCAAGCAAGATGCTTTAAAACCATCTGTTGGTGATATCAACAAAAGTCCAGAAAGAGTGCTGCTTGCTCAAATAGAGAAAGATGAGAAAAAGTTTGAGGATGACACCTTGGAAGAGGTCTTGGAAAGTGATTTGAAGCTCAAAAAGTTATGGGAGAAAACAATGGAGAAAGGCAATGCTCAGAACAAGCCGCCTGTTGATGTTCCAGCCAAACCAGTGGAAGAGGTAAAAAATGCATCTCAAAGTGATTCAGAAGAGACTGACCTCTTGAAAGAGAAACTGGAGCATGGAATGCCTGCTGTGGAGAAAGAACTTCTAAGACATGAAGAAAGTTTGAAACAAATGTGGGAGACCGATCATGAAAATCAAAAAACCACCTCTCTTAACAAAGAACCTGAAATAAAAAGGAGAAACATCAAAGAAACCCCTGTGGGGGAGGGAGACTCAAGCCACGGAGGAGCTGTCGAGCAGCCTAGGCCATGGGAAAGAGAGACTGAGTATTCAGAGGCAGATGTGAAAGAAGAGCTTTCAAGAAATCTTGGCAAGATGACAGTATTTGAAGAAAGCATTGAGAAAAGTTCCCCTGAAGAAAAATCAAAAAGCACTACACAGAATACTAATACAGCAGATCTTACTCAGCAAGGAACTGCTCGTACTGAGGATGCAGATTCAGGCAGAAATCTTGGCACGAGTTTAGCTAAAGAAAGAATACTAAGACCAGAATTGCAGTCTGAAGAGCCAGATGCTGAAGACGAGCCTGACCTGAAACAAGTAGAGGAAGAGCTGCTGGAAGATGAGAATGCTGCAAGTGCAAAGCTGTCGCAAGCAAGAGCTGCAAATGTACAGGGTGATACACTAAATGCTAAAAGTACAAATCCTGAATTAGAAGCACTAAGTGAGGCTGTTTCAGGAACCACAAATCCTACTTATGAAACAGGAGAGGAAACAAACTCATTTTATAAGGAAGTTAAAAAAACAATCAGCATGCAAGATGCAAGCGAGACTAGGAACAAAGAGGTTGACATACCAGTGAGTGAAGATGCTAAACTGGATGAGATGGAACGTGTCCTGGAAGATGATGAGTCTTCTGAAGCTGAGGAACCATCAGCTGTGGAAGAACATAATTTCCAATCTCCTGACACAGAAGACAGCAATGACCTTAACCAAAGGAAAGATCATGTCCCAGAGAGCATTTCACAGAAAGACTCAAAAGAGGTGCAAATTTTACAGCATACAAGAAATGACCACCAGCAATCTGCGCATTTCCCCAGCCCTGGTGACAGCTCAGCAACCACAAACGACACTGTTACAGACTTCAGTGAGTCTGTGAAGCGGCTCACAATAATGAGAGATTTTCTTGATGAAAAGCGTGTAATACGTCTACAAAAGTACCTTGGGCCTCAACACGTGGTTAGGCTAGAAGGCATGTTTCACGACATGAAGGTAGAGATGGAGCTTGTTCGAAAAGCAAGCCGTAATAACGAAGAGACAGAAAAAGCTTTGGACCAGATACTTGAGTTTTCAGAATCCAACATTATACATGCTGTAGCAAAAGTTCTGGATTCTAGAGTGGCAGAAAATAAAGAGGAGGTAGTGAAAGAGATGGATTTGTATGATGAGGAGGGCGCGCTGATGGATGATATTCAAGAATTAATATATTCTTTAAGGAGTAAATATTTGTCTGCTAGTGAGAGTGTCCCACTTGCATCTATTCCAGAACAGGAAGATGATCAGCTGCACGTTCAAGGTAGGATGTTAAAACAGTTAATAAATAGATGAAACAGAAGTAAAACCCTATCCCAGACAACACTGTAACCCAAAGAAGCTTGAAGAAGAGGGTGAGGAGCAGAATTGAAAGAGGCCCTGTGGAATCTGCTGGGATTCTGCTTATTTTTAATGCGTATTTTTGGCATTATGATGGGTGGCACAGGGACAAATCCTGAGAGAAAATGTTGAGCTCAGCATCTCTGTTCTTATGGGCCAGGTTCTGTGTAAGATAAGTGGGATCTGTGCATGGATATGGCTAGAAGGAGCCATTCAGGTCATGTCTGTACCTCCTCCTCTCAAGAAATAGGGATTCACATATACTAATGTGCTGAATTTTCTGGAGGGTTTAAGGCAGGTTGTTTTTCTGAACTACCTAGCATCTAATTATGAGAGATCCAGTGATTAATGCAAAGTTCAGGCACTAAATCCATGCACCCAAAATCAAAATCTCAGGTGTTATATTTTTGCCCATATTCATAAAAGAGTGCATAAGTAGAAATAGTGAACCAATAGATCTTTTGACGGAGGTAGAACCAGTGGTAGAGTCTACTGCAAACTTGCTGTTTTTCGAATTAATGTGCAAGTTGGTAAGATACGCTTTTAGCAAAGCTCCTTTTCCAGTAGCACATGTAAAGTATGTGATTTCTGATAAAGCCATGAACGATGATGAAAATATTTCACCTTGCAATATTTCATTGCAAGGTCGGTGGTCGATACCTTGCATAAATTCTGTATAAACATTTGATTCGATGTTACTGAAAGTTGATGGAGAATATATTGGAAGCAATACACAAGCTGAAGTGTTTAAAAAGTGTCAAGAAAGCTTTGTCAAATGCAGTATTTCACTGGAGGCAGCTTTGGGTAAGAAATACACGTTAGCTCAGTGCTTAATTCATGTTTCCCTGTCTGTCACAGATGGTGCAAAAGAGGCTGAATATGACAGAGTTTCCATCAGAAACCCAGATGCCATTGATGAGAGCAATCAGGAGTTTCAGCATCTTGAAGATAAGAGGCCAGAAGAGCCTACTGAGGAGGAGAGGGCTGTTAATGTTCCACCTGAGCATGAAGAGGCCAACTTCTCGGATAATAGAGAAGCTGAAGAAGGGTATGATAGTGAAAGAGTATCGCTGCTGGAAGATGCTTCCTTTGGGTCGATTGATTCAGGACAGAGTCCCAGGGAGGATATTGCTGCAGGTAATCTTTGGGAATTGGGTTATTTTGTTCTTTTGCTCTTAAAGAGGAGCATAGTTGAATGGCTTTCAGGCAAATACCAAGGTTTTTCACTAATAATTTCATTGTATGTTGCTGTAATCCTAATGGCTTTCACTAATCCATGACAGTGCCTCTAGGCAGTATTGTATGGCTACCACTCATCTCGGCAGAGTGAATTTTCTACTACTTTTTTGCACTATAGAAATAAGAAAAGTTCTCCTGTGTCATAGTCAGAGCTCTGTGCTCAGGCTGGTGGACTGTGTCTCAGGATGGTAGTGGATAAAGAGCAGAAATCACTGGAAGCATACCATCAGCCCAGATATTCCCCTCCTTGCAGCGGGACTGACAGTCTAACCATTAGGCTATAGAATCGTGTGCTTTCTCTTCTCACTCTTTTTAACCTGTGATTCTGGGCTGTATTACTTTCCAGGAAAGACAGAGTGTAGCGTGTAGCTTCCCTCAAGCAGTTCAATGATCTCTGGCTAAGCTGTTTGTTGGCGTAGGAGAATTGTCCGACTCTGTTCCGCTGAGGTCTTCTCCCCCTGGAGCAAGTGTGCTGACCTGTGCTGACTCGTCAGTATGCCAGGGAAGGATCCTATTGCCATCATCTTCCCCAGCTGTTTTGGCATGAAACTGCCTTTGACTCTAATCTGGGTGCTAAGCTCAGCTTTGCTGTTCTGCATTCACCTCTGATTATGCTTAATAAATGCATCTTCACCGAGCATTTAGAAAAAAATCAGGCACATCTTGCTTAGCTTTTGTATGCTACTGAGGTACTGTACCATCCCCATAGCCAAGCACTTCTGAGCAGCTTCTAAGTTCTGAGGGAAACTCCAGGCTGAATACAAAGATACCCAATGAATTTTAAGTGGCTGGTGGATTACTTGCGGTTACGCAGTTGAATGTTCAGTTGTATTTTAGACCATCTTCCATTCCTTCCTTAATGGTGGTTAAATACTGTTTGCCAGGAGTTCCTGTGAGGACTGCTAGAAGTGCTGAGTAGAAACAGGGCAGGTGCTTGTGGAAGTGCTGCTCACAGAAGCTGTTCCACGGTGTAACAACAGGCTGGGCCGGTGGTTAGTTCCATCTGCTAACCTGAATTCATGGCGGCAGTAGCAGTGAGAGGGAGGCTGGCTTCAGATCAGGGTAGAAGCAAAGATGGTTTAAAGCTTAGCTGTACTAACAGTGCTGGAAACTTATCAGAAGACATAGGTTTATTGATTAGGAATTGAAGAGAGTGTGCTTTTTTGTTGTTGACTTGCTGCTGAAGTTGTGTGTGCTCTGTCTGAGGCAGGCCTGGCAAAGTGACTTTGTGTCCCTCTCTGCGGTACCCTTTCTAAAGCAGCCAGTGGAATATCGCTAGCTTCTCTAAGGACTTTTGCCCCTTTCTTCAGCGCCCTGGAGAGCCGGGGACCGTAACGTGAAGTCTCGCCCGAGATGCCGCCGGGACCGCGGGGGCGGGGGGCGGGGAGCAGAAGCGAGTTCCCCCTTGCAGCCCTCCCCTGTCAGCGGCCGCGGCCGCTCCGTGCGGTAACACCTCT